CTCGGGACACCCCCCCCCCCCCCCCCCCTCTGCTTGACTTTGCCTCTCTACTTAAGTTCCTCAATTTCTGACTTGAACTGTCACTTCGCTGGAAAAGTCAGATCACAATCTATCTTATTCCTTGATGTTTATTTATTTGATCTCAGTAGCCTCTTTGTCTGCATACATTGTGAACTTCCTTGGCAAACCGATTCGAATTGCATAACTAATGCATTTCTATCAATTATTAACGGTCTAAACTAACTGTAAAATGGTAATTTTCGCTGTCTTCATAACCTTCTACATTGATCTTTTGATGTTTAGAAACTTTTCCTTCATATTTGAGATATCTGTTGTGAATATGATTAGAAAAGTGGAGCGTTGTTAACTGCTGCATTCAATACTTGCTTCTAGAGGAAAACTGCTGCTTGTGCCCTATTGGGTTTTTACATGATTGCAAATATTGATGATCAGTGCACTATAATGTCAAGTTTTTTCTCCCCTTTTCAGGTTCGTCGTGTCCAAAACTTAGTAGAGGCAATGGATGCAGTAAAAGCAAGAAATTCCAATCCCTTTATCAACAACAGTAATGCCGTGTCAGTGACTACTCAATGGGAGACATTTGAGTCGGGGGTTGGAAGCCTGAACGCTCCACCACCACCTAGACCTGTGCTTGAGGTTGGAAGCATGAACACCTCATCTCCTCCTAGACCTGTGCTTGGGGTTGGAAGCATGAACGCCTCACCTCCTCCTAGACCTGCATTTGGGGTTGGAGGACTGAACACCCAACCACCTCCTACACTTGTGCTTGGGGTTGGAAGCATGAACGCCTCACCTCCTCCTAGACCTGCATTTGGGGTTGGAGGACTGAACACCCAACCACCTCCTACACTTGTGCTTGGGGTTGGAAGCATGAACGCCTCACCTCCTCCTAGACCTGCATTTGGGGTTGGAGGACTGAACACCCAACCACCTCCTACACTTGTGCTTGGGGTTGGAAGCATGAACGCCTCACCTCCTCCTAGACCTGCATTTGGGGTTGGAGGACTGAACACCCAACCACCTCCTACACTTGTGCTTGGGGTTGGAAGCATGAACGCCTCACCTCCTCCTAGACCTGTGTTTGGGGTTGGAGGACTGAACACCCCACCACCTCCTACACCTATGCTTGGGGTTGGAAGCCTGGCCGCCCCACCTCTTAGACCGCCATCTACTATAGTGACCGAGGATTGGGAACAATTTGAATAGAGTAGCTGTATACGTTTCCATTTTATGATTTTGAAGAAACAGAAAATGCCAGTTATTAGGCACTACTGATCACTATTATTTTGTCATCTATACTATCGTTACAGTAAAATATTTTTGGTGGCTGCAAGTTCATGATCAGGCAAACATAGAGGTTTAATGAAATCGTGTTGGTAAGTTACTTCTGTGTGTTGTATAAGATTAAATCAAAGTTTAGTGCATAATTCTTTTATTCTTCACCTCATATCTGGCAAACCTCTCAACCAAAGCAGTTTTCGAAACAACGTGAACCAGGTTTCACGAAATTATATCGTATAATCACCCTCAAGGCCACTCCATCTAGGGGTGTCAAACTGACGGGTTGGACTAAACTAGGGCATATAAAATTAGCACTCGGATAATAGCTCTGAAAATGAACGAACTTCTTGATATCAAGTGTTTTGTATCGCCTTGGCCCCATCAGGCGCGAATTCGGATTGGTCGGGCTAGTAATTTCTGATACAGGATGATTAAATAAAAAAAATGTAATATATACAAGATTTGTCTCTTTCTACTTTCTAGTCATTAGTTTTTATGAAGCTCAAAATCAAACAAATCGATGATGGTTCACTTGTTACTTTCAATTTCCGGACCTATGTGCGCGCCTTTGTCTCATAGACCTCAATTATTCTTTTGGTTTCACACACGGTACCTTCTTCTGAGGATGACTAATTCAAATTTATGACAGGAAGTTTCACTTTTTAAAGCGGTAAGGTGATTTCATACCTAGGGTTCAAATTAAGATCTATTCAATATTTTTTTACACGGAATCCAAGTTAATTTTGAACTACTACAACATATGCAGTGGGAAAGGTAAAGTATGCACAGACCTTATAACTACCTCGTGGAGGTAGAGAAGCTAATTTTTGAGCTAATAATTATTAAAGTATATGACATATTCAAAGCTAATATCTTGAAAGTTTGAACCCTAAATGTTAAGTATATTCTGAATCTGTCTCTATCAATAGACTTCGTTTTCTCATGGCCCAAAGTTCCTACGTAAATAGTGACATTTCCCTCTTTTAGTTTTCTTGTCCCATTGTTGGAATCATTTTCACATTTTGATATAATATATGGTCCATATTATACCATATTATTCATTTTCAAAAAATCTCAAGTTACCTCCAGTCCAAAGGAGATAAATATCATGAAAATGGACAATTTAAAAGTGGGCTATCGTACATTATAACATGCCAAAAACACATCAATGAAATTTTGTATCCTATTAAACATGAAAAAATTAAAATAAAATAAATAATATACCATACCATATACTATATTTTTGTTAGAACTTTCTTTCTTTCTTTATGTCTACTTTGATGAAAACAATAGTACCTTCCATGGCTCCAAATGTTTTTTACCAAAAAGATGATGATCCAATTATTCTATCTACTAAGGATCATAATTTTGCTCTAAGTGGAGAAATTATGTTGCTGGTACTTGTACTTCTTTTTACTCTTTTTATTGTCACTTTGATTTTCTTCTTGTGTATGAAACATTATTTAAGGTATTCTTCATGTACTCCATCAGACCAAATTGTTCAATCACCTAATTATTTTTCCACTCCCATGACAATTAAGCCGTTGTATCGCGATATCGTGGAGCCATAATTTTTTCAGATTTTAAGTCATATTATATATGTATATTTGGAATTGTACGTTGGATTTAGAATGATTTATGTATTCTAATTGTATGTATATATATATATATTGATCTCTTTTCTATCTGTATTAGATAATTTAGTTGAATCCACAGAACCTGCTTTAGACTTGTTTTGATAGCAAAGAATAATTTTTGAATGATTATTATCTTATTGTATGTATATATTTTGATCACTTTTTCTATTTGTATTAGATAGTTCAGTTGAATCTACAGAACCTGCTCTAGATCCGCCTCGGTGGCAAAGAACAATTGACTTTAATTTCTTCTTGATAACTTTAAGGTTGTTCTTGTCTCTAGCATGAAGCTATAATAGTACTATGGTTTCAATTTATCTTGGTTTTGATGTCTTGGAACCTTGATGCTTGGGATTTTTGACAAATGAACTAGAATAATATAATTCTAGCAACCAATGCTTGTGATTTCATTTTCAATGGGTTTCAAATATTATATTCAGCGACGAATTCAAATTTAAATTATGAGCGCTCAAATATTGCCTTACAAGAGATCTTCACTTTAACACATAAGAAAAAAAGAAGAGGTCATTTTGTTCTATTCAATTTGGGTAAAGGTCCTCAATGTTTTACCGTATTGCTTATTAAATCATGTCTCCATTGTAATACACAACAGCACCAGTGGTCTAGTGGTAGAATAGTACCCTGCCACGGTACAGACCCGGGTTCGATTCCCGGCTGGTGCATGTTATTTTTTTTAAAACATTGAATAGATAATTCATATTTCACAAGTGCAATCAACATTACAATTTTAATCCAAACTTACATCACAATTTTAATCAAACTTATAAATAGTACTTATTAACTATACAATCTTATCGTTCATCACGAGTTGATCACACTAGAATTTATCTACAGTAAATCCGTCTCTCAACACCTCATAAGCCTCTCTACTGCGGGATTTCTTCAACCCAGCCGTGACATAAAGCTTTGATTTTTCAGATGAAATGGCAGTAACTTTTACCCAGATCATCACCTTTGTTTTTATTCCCTCTATGTCAGCTAGCTTTCCTTTTTCCAAGTATCCAGTAACTGCCGTAGAGAAGCGTAATACAGATGAATCCCTGTAACCAACCTCACATATTGAAGGAATATAGACAGTGATCTTCTTGGTTTCTTCGTTAAACTCATAGTTGGTGGCATCACGAGGGAAAATGCCTACTGGAATGTCATGCTCCTTCAGCAGTTCTGGCAATGGCTTTTGCATTTTCCCTACAAATCCAGTGCAAAGCAAGGATGAGAAAGCTCCTGAATATTTTGGCATAAGAATACAAGGAATGACCGAAGAAAGTGATGTTTCTTTCGACATTCAACATGGTTTATCACAAGCTAGTTTACAGTCTGACTACAAACCACTATCCTATACATCATGAGACTCACCACAGAAAAAGCATTTTATTTCCCTGTACTGGTGCCAGCCAAACCTTTATTACTAGAGCAAGGGTAGCTAGAGGGCTAATGTTTCACAAGCTAAAAGTTAGACCTTTTCTTAAAAGAAGTTAATGGTCGAGTAACAAATAAGAGTAAGAGTTCATATTTGATGAAGAAAGAATAGAATTATTGGAACACCCAGTTGTAATGCATTATTGTGGATCTTGGTCCAAAGGTACTTTCTTAAGCTAGCTACAAGGATGGGGCAGTATGGAAAGATAAAATGTAGAACCTAATAAAATATACTAGTTTTAGAATCTAGTTGGAAAAAAAAAGAAGAAAAGATCTTTTCAAGCATTGCTGATAAAATTTTCTTCTCCTCGATCAATGAAATTTGAGAGAAGACAGAAGAGGAGCCAAAAGAGTACCGAGGAAGACTAACCTTTAAGCTTGTTCACCAGCCATTTGCTTCCTCCTTCGATACTGCTTTGCAAGGACTAATTTTTAAAAGGGGAAAGTGTCAGACAAGTAAGAAGAAGACGAGAAAGAGAGGAAATTCAACACAGATAAGCGATAACCAATTGGTCTCTCCGAGTAAATTCCAAATTAGTGAACATATTTTATTTTGCTTTAGGGTAGGCATTTTGCAAATGCTTTCAGCTCACACATCATAGCAGATTGAAATTCGTCTAGATTTTAATAAAATGGAACTTGTTTTAAATTTTTAATTTATCACATCAATTTCAATTAACAATCTCACCAGGGCAGGAGCTAGAAAGTGGAGTATGTAATTATGTGTTTCTGTTCTTAATACCATTGCAACATTATACACTAAAAAGGAGAAGAAAGGCATAAACTCCTAGCACCATACTTAGATTTTCAGGAAATGCAAACGTCCTATTCAGTAGTAAAGCATCGGCCTTTGGAATTTATGGAGTGTCAGGATTTGTTTAAGGCTTGGATCTGGCATGTCAGGACGTTGGTTGTGCACCTTTTTTTTAATTAATAAAGGAGAATAAGGCACGGAACGTTTTCTACCCTTCAGATAAGAAATTATTGTGCTTTAAAATCCACAAGTGCAATAATGAAAAGAAAAGATGCAATTCAACAAAATTTATGTCCAACCACTACAATAATTCTGTGTCTGCTCTAAAACAAGTGATGAATGCAGCAAAGATACAAATCAGTCTACCCCCACCTGGAAATTGTTGAGGAAAATAAATGTTCAAAAACAATGGCATGCGAAAGAAGAGACTATTGGCTCAAATTTGATAGGCAAAATACTAACATTAGGGAGGTCGAAACTTAATATAAGTTTGTCAGACTGGTCTTTTACTCGACTTTGAGAATAATGAGATCTTAGTGGCATCACTCTGTTGCAACCTATTCCCCGATCAATTTTCATCCCCACTTACAGGACAAAAGTCATTTCCTCAGACGTCTTGTTCTTGAAAAGGAAAAGCAGGGTAAGCTGCTTAGCCAGATGGTATTAGTACTTTAAATATATATATTTTAAGCATTTGCATTCTCAAATGTTATACCCGAAGAATCTTTCATATCGAATTCTTTATTTACTCAAACAGAATACCATTGATTCATTTTCTTGGTAATCATCTAAGGATGCTGATCAGTATGAGTCATGAGCTTTCTTCTTTCTTTCTTTCTTGGTTATTCTTTTGCCAAATTCCGACACAGACATGTGCTATCTCATCCCTACTCAACAGTCAACATTGGATTTGTAGGAAAACTCAAAGGCCATTACAAGGTCTGCTGAATATGACATTTCAGTAGGTATATTTCCTTGCAATGAAACTATGAGTTTAATGAATAAACCAAGAAGCTTCCTGCCCAGGTTCGGCCAGTATATTAAGTCGACAATTAAATGTGTGTATGTGAGGTCGATCACAAAAAGAAATTCATTCCCTTTGGAGATATCAGCAGCTAAATGATGGCAAAGAGAGTAAACTCGATAATGTTCAATACAACTAGAGTCCAAATTCAAAAGTTATCCTCCACACTTAATCTCAACCGACTTGAATGATCGAATCGATTCTCACTTTGTCTTGCAGACAAGTGATCATATATCAGTAGTTTGCAA